CCTGTATTTCTCCAGCCGTCATACTTAAAATCCTCAGCGGTTGCTTTTTCGTTGTTCCAGTAGGGCGAAAGAACTGTCTTTCCACTAATCAAAATTAATCCCTGGCTGTACTCAGGAAGTTCTTTACCGTTCAGTAAATTCACTACCTAAAGTGGCTCAGATTAAAATTTTTTAGATTGATTGAAGCTGCCGACCTTGATTCATTTAGCATAATCTGCTACACCATATGCTCCGTTAATGTTTTTAGAAACCACTCTAATTTTTGATACATGCTTTTTCCTTTGCACTTTTAGTGATCATTGATTGGAAAGATAAAACTTGGTAATATCCCACCTTCAAACTAAGCCCAGCACACAGTGCACCGCATGATAAATTGTTGAACGTTGTGTTCCTTTTGGTACGACTGATAGAACCCACTTCTGTCATTCCATAAACTAAACCCTTCAAAATTTAACCATGTATCGATGACGGCCACAAAAAACTAATGCTACTCTTCCAGACCATACGCGATGCATCCATTAGTATCTTACACGGCCAACTGCAGAAACATAGTAGTTCTAGAACCACCAGAGCAGCGTAGAAGGTTTGGAGACGGAGAAAAATGATAGTCCGCAAAAGCAAAATTGTTAAAATTTGGCTATTGCAAGAAAAGAGATAAGCCTTCAAACTCAAGTGAAAGAATTCGTTTATTTGGAATATATATCAATGCTGCTGCGGGTTAATTGCATCGTCTGAGTAGCTTAAAAGCATTGCAATTGTTGGGTCAACGCCAAGGTACGTCGTTGTCGGCTCACGAGCGATGACTTGAAGAAGCTCTCGAAAACTTTGTTTTCAAGCTACAGAAATGTTGCTATTGGTATTTTTTGTATACTTCAGACTGTTTTTATCCCACGGATATGTGTGATAAACTATTTTTTTAAAATTTACCGACTTAGAAGTGAGATAGCAGAAAAAGTCATTAAGGCTTCAAAAAAGGAAATTATTAGGAAGGGAGGCGATTGGAAACGACTGAAAATCAGGTTGGCTGAAACATTACTATCCCTTAACGATTATTACGTTTCTGCATTGTATCTTTCTGTTCCAACGTCTGACTTCGTGAACAAAAATTTTCCTTTTTGCAGAGCTTCTGACTAATATTTTGCCAACAGCAAGTATTCACCTACTACATTTCAATTGCGGACGCTTACAGCTGGAAGAGTATCAGGCTGTTCTAACCCTTTAGAAAGAAATGTTTAGAAAAAAAAATTCAACTGCGATTAGATGATAGAAGAAAGTCAGTACTAGAAGTGGTAGTTAATGCGGAGTAGTAATGCTAAGAATAAACTCACAGTAATCAATAAGATGATGTTTATTAAAGATAGAAAAATATTTTTAAAAAATTAAGAAGTTATCTAAGAAAAACAATCTGTTACAAAACTGCATACCTGCACTGTACTTTTTAACAGACGGAAGTAGTTTGAACGCCATTTTCATCGTACTTTCATGAGCTTTCGCGGTCCCAATGACAACCACTTCTAAGCTGGACAAGCATGTTTTTTCTACGATTTCAAGTACGCATAGTCTTTTGAGAATTAGCGGACTTAAGAAACATATTCGCACCTGGATATTAAATAAGTTTTAAGTGGAAGCCTAAAATTTATTTTCTGCAAAAGTCAAGCACAGCATACGGAATTTGGGATTTTTTTCCCTGCTGCCGCTCCTCCATATACTCTCAAATTGTAAATGAGATTACTCAATAAGCCCCAAACATAGCGCAGCAATACTCCTTCAAAATGAAGTAGCAAGTAAGAAAAGAGGTAGAAATTCGATCATTTTACGGATAAAAGTCGAACTCCAGCTGGACGGATATTCACAATCACGATAAAAATGATGAAATATTCACTACGAAATGCTCAAAAGGTGAGTAATCGCTTCTTACAGCGATTCTCTTTGAAAACAGATGACATAGCAAATCAAAATTTTTAAGAGATGTTGAAGTCATCAACGAAAAAAGATTCCAAATTTTTGACTGAGTAAGATTACACTTTTTTGAAGAAGGAATATAAGTATAAGAGAAAATCAGGAAGTTAGACAGTTGAGCACTGAAATTAGCAGCTTAAAGCGAAAAAGCCTTCAAAATCGACTTTTCTTAGCAACAGTAACCCAGAATAAAGAAACAATTTTTGGATAGTTTTGAAATACTGATGATTGTGTTGCAGTTTCAGCCGCTTCACCTCAAACTTCTCTACGTAACTTATCTGGATATTGCCGCAAAACCTCAGAATTTACTGCTTTTTGAAGAAAAGAAAATTTTGTATAAAAAACGGCTTTTTAAATCAGCTGTAGGTTCCAACGTTTTTGAATAATTTTTAAAGTTGACTACAACTATAAATTTGTTGCAGTAAATGTAAAGAACTATAAAAGCAATTCTTTAACTCATTAATAAATTTTTCTTGTGCAAAGCCGTAAAATGGTAACACGCTTTTTTTTAAAGATAATGAAAATTAATTTTGTCAAGTAGTGAAAAACAAAAGAGATGCGCTTCTGGTGTTTTCAGAAAAAAAAAAAAAAAAAATTATAGATGAAGAAGATGAAATAAAATTGAACAAAGAGGAGAAAGCATACTAATTGAAATAGATGTGTAACTCGCAAAATAGTACGTGTATCGCACCTTATGCTGTTCTATGCATTTGGCAAAAATATCTTCAGACTTTGCTGTGCAAACTACAGTGGCTCCATTAAGCAAAGAACTGAATAGAGAGTCTCTTCCGAAGGCGTCGTGCACACAGACTTTAATAGCAACAAAATCACCTCGTTCAGGAAGATCGTAAGCATCTCTGCTGCAAAAAAATAACTATTTATATTATATCTGAAGAAAAAGTCTGCTGATTTTTTAGAAGATCTTTAGAAGAGCAAAACTTTGATCTTTTATTTGAAAAGCACTGTAATAATTTACTCTTTTTCAAATTTTTGAAATAATTACCGAGTAGTCAATTGTTTTATTCAACTTATAAACTGAGCAGTTGAAATAAGATTATTCCAAATAATTATTTAATAACGTTTTTTTTTTTAATAACAACCTACACTTTAAACAGATCTGCCTAAAAAATTAGCAACAATTTTTCTTCGATCACGTAATATAATTTTTTTAAATTTGAAAACACTTGATGTGACCGTATCAAATGGTTTTCTAAGAAATTTATTGCTACAAAAGCTTTAAAACCATTGATCTTTTTCTACTCCCACATCAGTCGAATAAGATAGACTGACCAAGAAATTAATAGGTATAAAAACAAAAAGGTTAACTAATTGCTTAAATCTGTTACATTCTGTCAAGTGATTAGGCAACAAATTATAACTGCATTCAAAAAAAAAAAAAAAACATTTATTTATATGTGAATATGGCAAAAATTTTAAGCTTATTATTTGTAAAAAGTTTTGCTAGAAGAACTAGTAAGGTTATGCTACATAGAAAGCTAATGTGATGACTATTTTCTAATAAATGCAGAACTAATGCAATTGTATACCTGTTCTTTGTAGACAAATCCGACAGACTATCAATGTACCTTCTTTCTAATTTAAGAAACAATGCTAACTGCACACTGTATATAAAATTTTAAACTATTACATCTGTACAATTTTATGCATATATAGTTTAATTTACCTTTTCAGAAACTGCACTGCCTTGTACAAAAGAATTTTAGAAGTAAAAAAATTTTTTTTGACTAGAAACTTATTCTGGGCAAAGGATATTTAACAACAGTTTTATATATTGATATATTTGCTTATTGTAAAACTAAATAACTTTCTACTGTTTTACGTAATATTATATTTGTCACCTTTTACACCAATAATTTCTTTCCAAAATCTATTCAATTTACTTAGCGATTTACTATCAAATAAATTTTTCTTTAGGTTTAACCAAATATTCAGTGTAAGAATCAGTAACCAACAGACTTGTTGAATATTTTTATCATTCCATTTAGTATATAATGAAAGATTGCCACTCCTTTTCGGGGTCCACTTGTTCCACAAGAATATGGTAACATTACTAAATCATTTTCTGGATCTATTTCTGGAAAACCACTTGACGATGACGCAGCACTTAGGGCTAAATCTTTGATTATCGGATATCCAAATGATTCTTCACGTTTACCAACACATATAATCTAAAATAATGTTAAAAATATTATTTCAACTACACATACATAAACCACTTTAAGATTATTGGTAAATTTAAATTTAAAAAAAAAAAAAATGCTTAATCACTTACCCTATGAACATATTCTAATTCACAGAATACAGCTGCTAAATTCTGTATTGCATTCGGTGTTACAAATGCAAAACGTGCTGCTGAATCGGTTATTTGAAATCGCATTTCGTCTACAAATAACTTTTACATTTCTTTTATCTTTTCTTTTCATATTTCTTCAAACAATAATAAACTGTCTAAATGTTCGTAAACAAATAAAAAAAAAAAGATTTTGAGGAATAATATAATTAAAAATGTAAAAAAAAAAATTTTTGTTAATAAAGAAAAGAAATGAACCTTTTGAAAAATCTGGTGACAGACAACAGACAACAGCTCCAGCGATTGATATACCCAAAAAAAGCCATACAAATTCTGGTGACATATCTACACAGAGTATAACAGCCTTCAATTTACAAATCAGTTACCCCCTATTTTGCTGCTAAATATTACATTTAATTTTAGCAATTAAAAAAAAAAAAAAA